CATGATAAGTATCGTCTGAATTTTCATTATCTAATTGTTCTTCTGTGTTACGTGTGACATTTTCCGTATCATCCAATGCTGAACGTTTACGTACGGGCCCTTCATCACGAGAATTCTTTCTTTGCTTTCTTTGATTAGAACCTTTGTTACTTTTGTTATTTTGAACAACGTATTCTCCGTCATTATCACTTTCTTCATATGCAATGTTTATAGAACCATATGAGTTATTTTGTGGGGGATTTATCATACTTTTCGAACCTCTACGATCTTTATGTTGCAAATTATTAGTATGTGGTGGAGTACTCGACGGACTAACAATAGGAAGCGTGGTTGGAACATCTGATGTTTGCGCAGTCTTGTACCATTCATCAAGTAATCGAGATGTTTTGGAATCATTTTTTTTTTCTTTATTCGCTTTTTTCTTCGTAACCTGGTCTGACACTTGTGATGTAGTTGACCCATGATCTGTCATCTTTCCCTTTCTTTTATCAGAAACAACTTGGTTTCCAGATAACGGCTCATTTAGATTATCTACATCTGAAAGAACTAATTCAGGATCATTTTGCGCTGTCGTTTCTGGTGATCGTTGATTAACAGATGACAAACTAACTACTATATCACCAGCTGATGATGGTTCGCTAGAAGATAAGTAGAGTAATTCCGCAGAAAATGGTGACAAATTAAGATTGGACGATGATGAATCTTCAAGACCAACTTTTGGAATCTTTCCAACACTATAAGGGGACATTGCACAATTGTTAATATCTAAATTAATTATAATGAAATAGAATGATAATGTACCCATACTCTTCTTCTAATGACACAGTGTGGCAGCTACCGTACACATTAATCAACAACTTTTCGATCGCACTTAAGATTTGTTCACCATTATGAAAAAATACGACATTTTTGCTGGGCTCGACATTAACTTGAGTAAAATATTAATGATAAAGCAGATTAAGTATATATAAGTAGTCAACTATTTTAAATTGAAAGAAAAATGGTAAATGATTATCGTGCTTTTCAAATTACTGTGATCAGCAAATTTCATTTATCATCAGGAATCTGGGAAAAATGCCAGTATATAATTGGTTAAAAATTATTTGATTGATTTTTTAGCCAATCACATACTGGCATTTTTTCTAGATTCCTGATTCCCGATGTGATACATGAAATTTGCTGATCACAGTAATTTGAAAAGCACGATAATATATCTTAAACAGTTCTAGCTTACTGTCATAATCGTAAGTTGGTAACTTAATATTTATCCAAATAAATGGAGTCTTTTTATTTGCTATAAAATCCAGAAAGGTAAAGAATAAACGATCAGACATTAGATAATCAAATAAACTAATAGATGAATTTTTACTCTTACCAGTCCAACCATGTTTACACGCAATTTCTGTGTAGGTTGATTTTACGATGGATACAATATTTTTTATTTCTCCTCTGGTTGCAGTCACTGGACGATTATTAACATAAATGAAACTTTGACTGTTCTTAAAAATAACTTGTGGTTCTACAGAACATAAACTGATAAGATTACAACAGTTTAGTTAAATATATGGAATTAAAAAATTAATGTCACACCTACTCGCATCTGGCTTTGGTAATATGGCTTCAATTATAATTTTACTTTTTGCACAATTTGATCCATCTAATATGTCACAATTCTCATTTTCTATTTCTAAAGAAGTCTCTTTATCTGTGTCCCAGACAACAAATTCAACATTGTTTGTGAACTCAACACCATAAAGTTCATTCAACGATTGCATCTGACTTTTCATTGATGGAAGAATCCATTCACCAGCTTTGAAATTTAACCTTGCAGCATTGTCATATATTAGTTTGAGAAAAAAGCGAATATGTGGATGTGCAAGGGCATAAGTTGTTAAAAGGTTTTGTACTGCTTTCCCGATTTTTGATGAATTCTTTTGAGCAGTCTATAATATTATTAACATCATCAATATCACGATTTATATAAAGAACCGATAGTAATGAATGAATAGTAGGTAAAGTCATACTTGTCTACGAACTGGAACGTGTGAAAACAGCATCATAACCGTAACAGTCGTTCCTTCAGTAATCCCAACTGGTTTTGAACTATAAAAGTTTGTCAATACTTAATATTAGTGCGATTAAATTTGAATGTAACAAACTTAATATTTACTCTACAATTTTTCCCGTTCGATCAATCGAATAATTTATAGCTACCGGATCTTTAGAGGTTTTGGTAGTTATTTGTGTAGACTCGGATACAGCACAGATTGAATTGAGGGCTTCGCCTGAAATACATGTAAATTAAATATGGGTATATGAACATTATTAATTGCCATATAAATTATGTTTACCTCTGAATCCATATGTTTCTACTTTACTCAATCCCCCAAAATCCTCTAATTTCGAAGTATGATACCTTAATGCCATCGCTGGTCTATCATTTTCTGGAATTCCCGATCCATTGTCTTTAACCTTTTATAAAAAGAACGCGTTTATAAATAATTAATAAAACTATTGAAAATGGTATCTATGTTTGGCTCTGAAAAAACATACCACAATGGAATTAAGTCCGTCTCCGACCAACCTCACTTCTATTGAAGTTGCTTGTGCGTCAATAGAATTCCTTGTTTTTAAATACAAATTCCAATTACATTCTCATTTAGAAAATTCAATAGGTAACGAAGAAAAAACTCCTGCTATTTATTTACTCGATAAGCTCTTTCACCACGTCCTCAACTCTGGTGATAACTTGCCCACTGGAAATACGTCTAATAGTATTATTATCTAATGATTGAATCATTTTTATTAACCCTGCAAAAAAGAACAACGTGTTTTGATTCAAGGAACCAATACTAATTTAGGTGGCTTCGCTGTCACGTGGATACGTCGCGTGCAAGTTATTTCCAGATATCACAATTTATTTTGGGTACTGTAATCTATACTCATGACTCCTGATCTTTGATGGATATCTAACATTAAATATTTTTTGCATTGGTCGCGTGCTTTTAATTCTGGGGATTCTGTAACCCCCGAACCATTGGTGTATAAACCATGAAAAAATGTAAAAAATATTGTAATCTTTAAATTTGTCTTAGTGTATTACTGACTGGCCGTTATTCGCAAAATGCTCAAGATTCTCATCAGTTATGGGGTACTTGATCCTATATCCTTTAGACTTTGGTTTCCATATACTATCAGTTATTAGAAAATAGTCTTTTGGTAATCTGCGTTCTCGTGATACATATGCATTGAAGATCTTGATTAAAATAATTAGGCTTCAACATTTTAATGTGACCTTTAGATTTTTTTTTTTCGAAATGTCCCTTAAACCATATCAACGAGAATTTATAGAATTTGCCATTTCACAAGAAATTTTAAGTTTCGGATCTTTTACATTAAAATCTGGTCGTAAAAGTCCATACTTTTTTAATGCTGGTAAATTCAATAAAGGTAGTGCATTATCCAAAATTGGTAACTTCTACGCAGACGCTTTACAAGATGCAAAACATCTAGAATTTGATGTAGTTTTTGGTCCTGCTTATAAAGGTATTCCATTAGCTTCTTCAACAGTTATCGCTTTATCTGAAAATCACAAAAAGGATGTTCCATATTCGTTTAATAGAAAAGAGATTAAGGATCATGGAGAAGGTGGAAAAATTGTTGGAGCTCCATTAAAAGGAAATATTTTAATACTTGATGATGTTATTACGGCAGGAACAGCGATTAGGGAATGTTTAGAAATCATTAAAGAGAATGGTGCAACTCCAGTTGGTATTATTATTGCTGTGGACAGGCAAGAACGAGGAACGGGTGAAATTTCAGCTGTTCAACAAATTGAAAAAGAATACGGTATTCCTGTGATGTCTATCGTTAATTTGGAACTGATAATTGAGTTTCTTAATGAACGGGGCGGGTACGATGAACATTTGTCAAATATGAAAGAATATAGAGACATGTATGGTATCAAAAAATAAACGTTTTTATCATTATGCCAACCATTCAAAGTTCTTGGCATTTGAAGTAAAAGCTGTTTCCACTTATAGAAAGGGTAGCATATAAAACAACATATAACTATTATTGAATTGTATTTGTGAATTATTTTTTTTTCTTTTAGTAACTCGTGTCTACGAAGACTGCTATTCTAATCTTTTTAATGTTAATCATTTAGCTAAATGATCTTAATCTTATTTTTTATTTTTTTTTTATCTAATATGATAAAAAAAAAAGCATAAAGAAAATGTTTACACTTATATAGTTCTAAAAGTGCAATCAGACTATAAACCTTATTTTTTGCCAGCACCCTAACCCTAACTACATAAAATAAACTCTGCTTATTTTGATTGTTTTGATTTATGTTATATTCGATCTTATGAAGTGACAACATCACCTAGACGATAAATAAATTATCTCTTATATAATATATTTTTGTATATAAAACAAAATTACTTAATTGGTAATTTACCATTTATCTGATGCATGTTATTAGTATAACATGATGCAGATTATTATATAAATTATATATATTATAAATGTGGCATATACCCAAGAAAAATTTTTTCTTATTAAGTTAATGTTAATCATTCTTCTAGATTAAGTAAAAATTGTAGAGCTTATCAAGACGTATCTAATAGTGGTAAGATTATCAAAAACAGTTTAATAGTTGTTGAAATATTGCTAAAAAATAATTAGCTAACTACTATTGTTTATATAAAAATTTTATATAGTTAGTCAATTATTTTTTAGTAATATTTTAGCAATTATTAGATCATTTTAATAATTTTATTTATTAGATATGTCTTAATAAGCTTTACTATTTTTTTTTTTTTAAGATTAAGGTGAGACCTTGCTCATATCTTTATTGATAGTTTTATAAGCACCAAGAATATAGCAATAACTAACTAAATAATTACTACAATTT